GTAAGCAGAATTTGCTGTGCAGGGAGACAAATTGGAAATGGGCGTTAGCTTGACTTCATCTAAAGTTGTACATTTGATTCAAAAGTGGTTTAAAAAATGGTTTAAAATTAGTTTAGGTCAGGCTTATAATCGGTTTATAACTTTTTTACATCTCCGATTTTATAAACACTTATATAGAGTTTCGATCTGGCAAAAGTCGAACTTGCAATTTCTCATACCAACAACCTTTAGACTAAGATACAGGTCTCAATAGCAACAGACAGAATGACGACTAGATCGACTCGGGTATTGAATGTAGTAACAGAAGCTCACCTGGGCATATCGTATGACGAGCTCCGGCTGCTGGCTGTGCATGGCAATGATGACGACACCGATGCGTATACGATTGAACCAGGACTGGCAGGTGGGATTGTTAAGGCGAAAAAAGGCGGCGACTGGCTTCTCGGGTGGGCGCAAAGCAAAGGCACTGCCCTCGGCCGCATTGTATATAAGCTTCTCGAGGGCGTCCAGAAAGCCGAGCAGCATGCTCAAGTTAGCGCGCGTATTGGACAGCTGTTGCAGGGACATCTCGTCGAATGTCTGACGTTCGCACTCCTTGGCACAGCCGGTGAGAAGGCGTGCATAGCGCATCACGATTGCCTCGAAGGCGAGAAACGTGTCCTGCGGCTTGCCCAGCGTGGTGCGCAGCTTCTGGTCCACACAGTAACGCGCCGCCTCAAACTGCAGCCAGGCGGCGGCCAAGCGTTGGCAGCGACGCGTGCACTGCGTCAATTTCTCCTGGCGTTCATCGAGCGTCGTTACCTGGCAGCTGCGCATGAACAGATCGCGCAGACAGTCGGCAAACGGCTGCTGCTCCGGCGCCTGCAGACGCTCCACAAAATCCCGAAAGACCATGTCGCGCAGGGCACTGCACTGGCTCAGCCGCTGCTGCCAGACGCAGACGTGACTGCTGCCAATGCCAGCGGTGATGCGTCGCTCAATGGTCAGGCTCAGCGGCAACTGGGCATAGATCTGAGCGTAGGCCGCATGGGCGCTGCTAGAGAGCGACTGCAGCTGCTGTAGAGCCGTATCACGATACAATTGCAACAGCTCCTGGCTTAGATTTGATGTGCCATAGCCGAGCACGGCTTGTATGCAGACGGCACTTTCCAGCGGCGCATATTTGGCCGCCGTGCTAGCAATGTGTTCGCAAATCCCAATGAAGTCCGCATGCTGCAGTAATATGGAGGAGCGTGTGCTGCACTCGCCCAGCAAGGATTTTGTCCATCCAAGCAGCTGTTTAAGATTTAGTGGCGCCAGCTGAGCCGCCTGCGCCAGACAATTAGCCAGAAACTTGAGTATGTGACCAAAACTGTGCGCCGTCGGCGATGTGGAGCTAGCGGAGTGCGCATTCTCGTTGTCGCCATCGCGCAGCAGTCTCGAATTGTTCCGAAAATTGTGATTCGCCTGGCAATGCACCACGAGCAGGCTGAGTATGGCATGATGAGTGGCCGCATGCTTCGACCACATGTTGAGCTCACGAGCGCGACAATTGCATATCAATAGTTCCAGTATGGATGGCTTGCAGGCATACATGCCAATGATGGAGGATGTTTGCTTGGCCAATGCCGCCAAGGCGGCCAAATGAAAGATGAGCAAAATGTTGGCATCACTGGAATCAGATTGCGGTTCCGCCGTCTGTGCCAGGCGCAGCACACAGTTGTCCACGTCCTGCACGAGCTGCTTGTAGGCCTGTTGCAGTAGCGGCACATTCTTAATCAGCAGCGTCTCCTGGCAGGTGCGCAACAACAGCTTGTGCGCCGTGGTCTCGTTTTGCAGTCTGATGTCCGCCAGAAATGGCTGCTGTGCAGCATCCGCCTGGAAGATCAGTTGCACCAGGGCAGCGGGCAAACGTGTGCGCAGCTTGCGCACTGTGCACAACAACAGATACAGGCAGCTCAGCTGCTGAGGCTCCGGCAAATGATGTATATACTTGAACTGCATGTGAATTAGCTGACTTAAGGTGGCAGCTTCCGGTTCCTTATATCCATTCAGTAGGCAAATGCAGAAGAGTTCATTTATATTGATCAAAGCATCATCGCACTTGTCCGACAGCTGCAGCAAGTCGGGCATCATTTTGATGAGATGTGTTAGGGCCTGACCAACAATTGATTCGCACGTGATATGCATGCGGGTAAGGCACTTAAGTAGCGAATTAAAGGCGCCAATAAAGGCGCCAATGCGCTCGCTAAGGCGCTCAGTTGGGTCCAGTGCTGTTATATCCTCAATAAATTGGGCTAACAGGCCGTAGCTAAAGTCCAGTTGTTTGCTAAAGTACGGCGTTAGCTGCTCCAGCACGTAGGCACAGTGGGACTTGAGTTGCTTGGGCTGGCCAATCTCCAGTTGCCAGCCAATAATGATGTCCACCACATCCGTGAAATGGCACTCGAAAGCATCGCGATAATTGTGAGAGAATTGAACAATGCACGCGCTAATGCTCATAAAACTGTCGGGGCTCTCCGCGCCCTCCAGAAAGTCCTTAAGCATGAGCATTATCTTCTCCGAAAAAATGTGCAGATCGCATTTTGTGTCGCAGCTAAAAACAATGCCAAAACGTGGACGTGGTTGCGGGCAATTCGTGGACTCCAAGGACACTCACCTTAGCGTCGTGCGTAGCGCAACAATTAAATACTTTTGCAAGCGTTTATTTGTCCTATAGTTCGTCACAATGAACTCCTCGTAGATGGGATATGACATTCGATTAATATACCCAATCAGTCCAAGCGTTTTACTGCACTCGTCCAGCACCGGTGGCGGGCATTGCTTAAATAACGACAGCATCCCATCCAGTATGACATTAAAGGAGCGCGTGAGGTAGCCAACATTGATCGGAGTGCGTACGGCCATTTCCAGTTTGGCACAGAGTTCAAGAGCAGCCGCTGGGCTAGTTTCGTTTTGCAGGCGACGCATGATTTTGGACATACGCAGGTCATCTGTGCCCAGTTTGCCATCACGATCATTAGCATTGGTGAATTGCACTGAAATATTGGATTGTTTAGCTAGAAATTAGAGTTGGGCACAGTTGCACTTACTCTTGCATTGATGCGATTTACGCGTAATGCCCTTTGTCATATCATTGTTTATATTACGCAGCACTGGGTTAGCATTAGCTGACGACGCCTGCATATCGTGTGCTTTTGACCACAACGTTGTTTCGTTGATATTAATGTTGTTGTTGTTATTGCTCCCATAGTGGTTGCTGCCGTCGCTTTTGTTGCTATTGTGGCCAGATACATCGGTTAACATAGATGCATCCTCGTCGGCGTTATTGCAATTATCCAGCGGTAAAGCGGCGCTTTTCATTGAAAGGCCACCACGACTGGTGATCATATATATAAAATTTGCGCCACCGAATTGTTTTTGTTGTTTTTGGGTTTCACGTTCAGTTCATAGAGATGTCAATCATTGACAAGCAGTGTGTCCACACTTAAATCGCCGATATATCTTAAATAATGCTCAACACTCAAATATCGATTGTTTTTCTTGGTGACTATCGATAACAGCACCGCGCAAGCAAAGTTCGCGGTTATTTGAAAATATTTATAAATACAATTATAAGTGTAATAATAAAAAAGGTTAAAAAAACTATAACTATTGGCAAATTAAATCAGAATATGTGAATAGAATAAGTAATAATAATATTTTATATGCATATTGAGACTCTTCCCATTTTCCTGCTTAATAGGACGGTTGTTTAAAAAAAATGTTGGTTGAGTATTATTAACAACTTAACTAATTATATTTATAGTTTTGACTTTATTATTTAATAGATATATGTGAATACACGGTTAATATATGAATACTGAACTTTTTACACTTTTAGTTATTTCATTTTGCCCATCAAATGTTGAGTATAGGCTGCCACAAGGTTCGCCATCTCTGCGTACACTTGATAGGGATGCTTGGGCAGCGCTGCGGCTTGGCAGTTAGCCTCGAATGCATAAGGTACGTCCAGTGGTGTCGGATGGAGCTCAGGGGCTGGCGGTGGTTGCTCGTGTGCCACCAGCGATAGGCAAATGTCGCCTACCTGCAATTGCTGGCACTTTAATTCGTAAAGCTCGAACGACAATTGCGGATTGCAGGAGGCCCAGCCCTGACCGTAGACAAACAGCGGATGGGCCGATGCCACCTCCATGTGAACCTGAAACATCAACTTTCATTAATGAACTCAACTCAATACCACTGCACTGAAATGCACCCACCTTCATATGCTGCGTATCATAGCTAAAGGTTATATTGTTGATATGCGTTGATGTTCTGTCAATTTTAACGACCGTCGCCTCCTTCAAGTCAAAGTGCTGGCTGCGCAGCGCCGACTGAATGAAGTCCTCGGTGCGTAGATCCTCCACGCGACGCAATACACCTGTTGACAGCTCGATGCAAGTGCCCCGTCGAAAGCAGGCGCTCGACTCCATGTTTGGATTGCTGCAATTGAATTGAATTTAACGATTAATTGTGATGCAAATTTCTTTAAATACAGCCCAATTGCTCTTCACATTTTGAATGGATGCTGCCTGATTTCCTGCTGCATGATGCGTAGACGTGACGACCTGTTCGCTTCAGTTGCGATTGAAGACTGTTCAGTTGAGAGCGGATTTTATGTCGCTTTTTGCCACTCAATTCATTCAATTGAATGTGGTGCTTTCCATGGGCTTTCCAGGAATGTCACCCACTCATGACCGTTGCCCATGCCACTGGTTACCTGACCCACCGCACCTACGCCATCTGACAAATAATCTGCTCGTAGCAACAGGTACGCGACAATGGGCACAGTTTTTCAATTTAACGCCGAGCACCGCCCGTGGTGCTACCTAGGTTTCCGCTTAACAGCCATTGTATTGGCTCGCTCAGCGGCAGTCGACAGCCGGCGCCGATTTGGCTGTTGCGCCAGGCGCCTTCTCTCACACCCGCGCACGCACACACACACACATACAAACACACTTACAAACAGCAAATGCGTTTTAACAAGAATGTACATACATATTTATTTGGTTTTGCGTTTTCTTTTGGTCGCTGAGGATTTGATTTGAGTAACGCGCCGCTTGCCAAAGCTCGGCCACTTCAAGTCCATGGCGCAGATATAGTAGCGTACATAGAAATAGAGCACACCCAAGCCGGAATACACAGAGGTGAGCAGCAGCGGCATGAATGGGAATAGCAAATGCAGGCCCAACAAACGACTGACAATATGCTCATAGATGGGAATGGTTATGAAGCCCAGAAAGTAGATCCATTCGAGTAGGTGAAAGTTTGGTTTGCACTTATACACGCGCTCAAGCTGGCCATACATCATGGCCATGTAGGTCATGTACAGGGAGTAGCGCGGCACAAGTAGATCGACCTCGAAGAGCAGGGGAAACAGCGAGTAGTACCCAGCGACGGCCAAGATGTATGCAAATCTGGCATCCCGACGATCCAGCAAGGCAAGCAGGCTGCATGTGTGAGAGGTTTTTAATTAAAGAGTTCCGTCAATTTCTAAGCTGCATTCTTCACACTCACCACAATGGTATCAGGCACATGAGTATGGCCTTCTCATGGACGTGCCAGCCAAACATGAACGAGGAGCAGGAGCAAAGTACCACGGCACGCAAAAACAGCAGCCTGGCATGTCTAGCAATTAAATGACTTTAGGTAATGAAGTAGTTATTGCATACAATACGTGCTTACTCTCTGCTACGCGTCATAAAGAGCTTAATCAGGATGGGCAGCATAAATAGGAATGTGAGCGCAAAGGTAATGGACGGTGTTATTGTGGGCAGTACTACGTGTTGCACCTCCTGCACCAGGCCGGAGCTGGTCGAGGTCGCCTCAGATTCGGTCGTGCGTTTCAAGGCAATCACAGCCACCTTATCGGCAGCATTATAGAGCGCCCAAATATTGGGCGCCCAGTAGGCATGGGTAAGTCCGCGCTTAAACGGAAACAGGCGCGACATCAACTGCGGCAATTGGTGCCAGAAGGGGCCAAAGGACAGCACGAATGGTACTAGGCCAACAGCAAGCAGCCTAAGCGTATTTTGACCAAAATTGCCCTGAGCCAGGCAATAAAATTTCAATAGATAAACGCCAAAGGCGGGCGCCATATAAAGGAATATATGCTTGAAGTTCAGCAGGACGGCGAATGCAAAGGCGCTCCAGAGATAGCGTTGTCTGAGCAGTGCACTTATGCTCAGTAGCAGTATGCCAAACAGGAATCCATTGTACTGAAAGTGTATGTGATCCACGAATATGAGGCCCACATTCAGGAAGAGTAGCATGCAGCCAGCTATGTGTTTCTGGGTGGCTGGCACAATGCCCAGGGCGGACATGCAGCAGCGTACGCCCAGCATATATATCAGATCCATGATAATCACCGAAATGCGCTGGAAATGCACCGTTCTCACCGAGGCATAATTCAAATTCTGTACGATCAGCATATTGGGATCAACATATTTGGCCACCTGTGAGAGCAGCCATTCAAAATAGGCAAAGAAGGGCGGATAGTCCAGGGTCCATTCGCTGGTCGCGTCCAAATACCATCGATTCAGCGGTAAACTGTGCGTTATGGCCAGCCAATTGCGATGCACCTCAAAATCAGTGGAATAGCTGAAATGACAATTTGATTGAATAGGTGGCAATGTCTCCACTTGCCGGCCGACCAGCCGGCCGGTAAATCTATAATATTGTTGTTACTCACTAAGCGGGCAGCAGCAGCACTTTAATTGCACAGCTTATGCCGACCAATTGCCAAAAGTAGCCCCTCATAATGTGCTTGCTGCTGGTGATATCAGCTGGCGAAGCAGCTAAAGCTTTTTGTTTTCTTATTTTTCAACAGCACGCACGTTATCGTTACTAGAGATGGCACTATTTAAAAATATCGGCTGTCATTTAAACGCCGGCTACTAGTGTGACCCACCCATCCATCTTGAGTATATATTTTGGTATTTTTTAGCGCCAATTGGTGGAACACTTGTAACGATTTGTTTACCACCGTGCACGGGCGGCACGTGTATTTAAAAATGGAAAACATTACCGAGGCTCTGTTTATCAGCACATTAAACAATGAGCGTGCATCCTGTTTCGTACAGGATCTGCGCACTGGCACCGACCTGATGCGTTACAAAGGCGGTGGCTCAATGCAGTCTCACAGCCTACAAATGCTCGAGGAGCACTTTGTTATTGCGGCAAACAGCGCAAAGCCCCTGCTGCATGTGTGGCCCATCAATAGCCAGGAACCGATGTCGAATGTACGATACGTTGTGCCAGGCAAGGTGAATGCATTGGCACTGACTCCAGACAGTGCCTTCCTAATAGCTGGCATACAGGAGACCATCTACGTTTGGCACCTCAACTCCGGCCGTCTGCTCAATACGCTGTCCAAGCATTACCAGCCCATCACCTGTATACGTTTTACGGACAATGGCGAGCACTTTGCCACTGCCGGCAAGGACGGTGCTGTGCTTGTCTGGAATCTTACACGTGCTGTTGCCCCCCTGGGCGGTGCCGACAGTGAAGAGAATGCACCCTTTTACAATTTCAATGATCACGGGCTGGCGGTCACCGATGTCCATATTGGACTTGGTGGCATTCGCGCCTTCATGTACACCGTCTCATTGGATCGCTGCTGCAAGGTGTACGATCTGAGCGATGGCACAATGCTATTGAGCGTCGTGTTTCCAGTTGCCCTGCACAGCGTCATTGTCAACAGGATGGAGACCAGCGTCTATGTGGGCACCAGTGAGGGTCAGATACTTATTTTCAGCATGGAAAAGGTGCCACGCATGAAGGTACCAAGCGAATCTTTAAAAGTGTTAACAATCAGTATCTTACCAACTGGTTTGTCTCGAATTCACAGGAATACCATCTCGAAGAGGAGGAAAGCCAAGCCTTTGTTGGACACACAGCCGGCACACCTATCACATGCTTGGCTCTAGCGGTGAATGGAAATCAGTTGATTTCTGGTGGTGAGGATAAACAAGTGTGCATCTGGGATGTTGGTAGCCGGCAGCTGGTAAAGAGCATATCTCAGCCCGGTGCCATTACAAATCTGCATGTCCGTCTCATCGGCAACGCCATGTTTCATCCAGGTCCTAAGGTGCATAAACCTTTTGCCGACAATCTCAAGCGAATGATCAGTCCGGATGATGATGATGAATGCATTGAGCTGCTCATCACAGAAGAGTATTCAAAAGCCCCAAAGTTTCCAGAGCCAAACTTTGACAAAAGCTATGATGGCATCGATGACAATGCTGACTTTAAGGTTGTGACCCTTCCAGACGACTACGAAGATGTGGTTAGCGAGACGGAGGCTGATGACGCGGAAAAAAAATCAGCCAATGATGCGGAAGATTCAACTGATGATGATGAAGAAATGCCCGATGCTGATGCAGCCCGCAATTCCAAGTCTATGCTCGCGGAGCTCGAGAAATTACGTGCGGAAAATGCACAACTCAAACTGGAAGCAAAACGCTTGATGGACTTAAAGATAAATAGCATTGCAGGCAATATACAAAGTGCGAAAACGTCAAAGAAGAACAAAAGAGCTCGCAAAAACTAGACCTACAAGATATTTTGGGTAACAATTATATTATGATGTGTGTTTTTTTTTTTAGAAACAATAAATGTGTAAAGAAACGAATTGCTATTCATAGCAAAAAGAAAAAAAAACGTGCAAACTGTGCATTTTAGTTTGCATTTGCGCTGGGTACATTCTTAGTATCCGGCTGTTCCACCATGTCATCGCCGTCGTCGTTTTCCTCTTCTGAGGAAGCATTGTCTTTATCCTGAGCCAGCTGACGTCGTATTTCGCGATTGGAGTCCAAAAGCTCGCGTAGCTGTGACAAAATGTCGTCGGTGCGCTGCTCCACAACATCCAAGGCACAGCTTAGAGCGTCTAGACTTTGGTTGACATCCTCCATCTCTGCAAATAGCAAACGGCGTCATTTATGAAAAATACACATATGCACACGAATTCATATGATATTACCTTGCAGATCGGCCTCCTGCACATTTGTGTTGCCCGACTCGCCGGAGGACGTCGGATCGTGGTTATTCCTCGGGGACATCGTTGCTGCTAAAACATGGCGTCAGCTGACATTTGCTTAATTGCGCGAACGAACACGAGCGTAGGCATAACTACAACAAGGGGGTTAATTTTGTTTCCTTACAATTTCATGATTACTAATTATAACAAAAAGCTGAAAAATATCTATAAAAAATAGTTTTGAAGTTTTTAAGAGGAAAAACTGGAAAGATCATTTGGGCCCCTTCTTGAACGTTAACTACGCCCATGTTTAGGGATGACTTACATTTCGATACACTTATCGATAATTTCGACAGCTTGAGCTAGTGCTGACTTTCAGCTGCAACACTAGTGCTTACATTTTACAGCACTGGCAGTCAGCCGGCGGCCATAATAATAATAAAAACATTCTGGTGATTGTTGCATAAAATTCATATTGAACATTTTTACCTGATACGTAAGTAAGTAAGTGATTGCGGCAAAGAAGCACGTTCGTATTGTCAATGAATGGTGGCATCGCAGTTGCGGAGACACGCGAAGAGTACAAATAACCTATGTGTGTTGGCTTTTTGTGCCAATTGAATTCCTTAGTTAATTTAATCTATAGTTAATCTAGGGTGATTTAAATGTCAATTGAGGCCGCTTAACTGCTTCATTTCGTTTTTATAAGTTTATATATATATATATATTTTTTTTATATAAGAATTTTAAATTACAAAAAAATTTGTATCACAATTAGTATTATTTTATTTTTGTCCATTTCATTTTAAATAGTATAATTGTTGATGGTAGAGCCCAATTGTTGCTACATTTCCATGTGTATGCTACATGTCACATTTCAGTTGCGTGTCCCTCGGGCCCAGTTCAGCGCTCAATGCGCACGATTTGGAATGCCTGCAAGTCAACGTCAGGTTTGCTTAAGAAACACATGCATGCGCATCTCGCTAAGACCACTTACGGCGTCTACAGTGGCGACCTTGGTAACCGTCCTGGCACTTGCACTCCTTGTTGCCCATGCAGCGGCCATTGCCGCACTTGCAGGTGGAGCGCTGTTTGCGTCCAATTTCGCAATGATTGCCGTGCAGCCCGTTCGGACAGCGGCACATATTGTTGCCAATGCAGCGGCCGCCATTCTTGCAGGGTATCACGCACTTGGCTGTTATATAAACAAAACAACAAAACATAAGCGTGCAGTTAGCATAGGTCAAATCAGTTCAAGGGGCACAACTCACAATATTCACAGTGCAGGCCGTAATATCCTTTTGAGCATTGGCATTTGTCCTTTTGTATGCATTTGCCGCCATTCCGGCACTTCTCTTTGCAAATACCTGACCCGTAACGCAACAAAACAAAAAAAACAGGTACACAAATTGATTATTATATATATTTGCCATATCCTTGCAGCTGCTTAGAACCGGACACTCAAAACACGCAACACCATGTACAGAAAGGCGTGTGCGTCGGGCATGCAACTAATTCGCAGATCAGTGCCCACAGTGCGTTGTCTTGCCACAAGTAGCAGCAGCAGCAGCCAAAATCAGGAGCAGCCGCAGCAACCGTCACCGGCGCTGCGTCCACGTGCCAATGCGATGACCGATGAGATCATACGCGTGGATCATGCTGGCGAGCTGGGCGCCGATCGTATCTATGCTGGCCAAATGGCCATATTGGGCAACGGTCCCATGGGCAAGACCATTGAGCATATGTGGGAGCAGGAGAAATGCCATCGCAAGCAATTCGAGCAGCTGATACAACAGCATCGCGTCCGGCCGACAATTATGACGCCAATTTGGAATGTGGCTGCCTTTGCGCTGGGCGCGGGCACTGCGCTGTTGGGCGAAAAGGCGGCCATGGCATGCACCGTTGCCGTTGAGACGGTCATTGTGGAGCACTACAACGATCAGTTGCGTCAAATTATGGAGTCACCCAATCCGGACAAGGTATTTATGTTGAATGTACCATCAACGATAGCTTTACAATTGACATTGCGCCTTTTTGCATTTTCTGGGACCAGGAACTGCTCGAGACAATAACAAAATTTCGTGACGAGGAACAGGAACATCATGACACGGGCATCGATTGCGGCGCCGAGCAGGCGCCCTTCTACAAGGCCATGACCGAGGTCATCAAGTTTGGCTGCAAAACGGCCATTGCCATATCCAAAAAGATCTAAACTCCAATTGAGGCACTATCAAATTGTTAGGTGTGTGCGTGCGTGTGTTTAGTTATAGAAGCATTAAGCATTAAAGATATGTATTTATACATATATACCTGTACATCTGTACATCTGTAACGGTACTTACCGCCCTCACACTGTGTGCCCTGATAGCCCTCGGGGCAGGTGCAAACCGACGGCGCCGTGCAATTGCCGCCGTTCAGACACTGCGGAAAACAGAAGGCCGTCTCACAATATTGGCCCGTATAGCCGACGTTGCACTTGCAGATATGATGCTCGTTGCAATACCCATTCTTGCCACATTTTAAACTGCATTCTGGATCGGGAGCTTAAGTTTTTTTAGTTTAGTTCGATTGGTTTTGTTTTGTGTGTTTGGTTTTGTTTGTTTTTTATGAAAGGGTTTGTGTGTGTGTGTGTGCAGAAAATTGAGTTGCAAATAAGCTTGACAACAGTTTGCGAATTATGAGCTGAAATTATGATCAATATACGTGTGCATGTACATGAATATGTGCACAGCAGAGCGAGCAGCACAGTTAGACATGGAGAGAACGAGAGAGCAGTAGAGCCAAGCGCTTTGCTGATGGCTTCCACATACCGTACATCAGATCGCAAACCGTTATACAGCTTGCATGTGATTCGGATCAAGTGGGGCACACCAATAAGCAGACAAAGAGAGTGTGAGAGCGAGAGAGAGAAATGTTGTTGTAGGCGTAAGCTTCTGTGTGTAAGAGCGAACAATTGATGTACGGATAGAGTATTGTGGGCGTAGATATTAGCGACAGTGATAAACATGTGCTTACGGCAGAAATTGCTTAAGATTCATGTAAAATGTTTTAATTTGAAAATATTGAACTTGATGTCAAATGTGAACGTTAAACAAGGTTTTAGTGTCGCTCTTAAGCGGTTTCTGCTGTAATTATTATTATTACTTTTATTTTTTAAATTTGATATAAAGCATTTAATTGACTTTTCATATACACTACCTTGCAAAGTTGTTAGTGAAGTAGGGTTGGAAGCGTCTATATCATACACACCTCTATGTGCGCATTCCTTTTTGAAGTTGAGACGTATGGGTGTGCCCAAAAGCGGTTCCTTATTGCGAGTCTGTATCTTTAGGCCCACATTGAATGATGCAGTGCCCGAGCTGTTTCCGGTGCAGGGCAGGAATATGCTAAAATCTAGCTTGGATAGATATCAAATGGGCCACATTGGTGCGCCGGCTACCATAACTGATTGACTCGTGATTGCACTTACTTTTCTGCTCCTGCGGTATGCGTCCGCTTTTCTTGATCGAGAGCGTTGGCGCCTTTAAAATGCTCTCGTCCATCGTTTGCAGTCGATCAAAATCATAGGAATACTTGCGTCTACCCGATTTCCATGTGAAATTCACATAGTTCACCTCGGACGGTATCACCAGATAGCTATAGAATGTCGTGTCGCGCATTTCGTTCGTCACACGACCGTTGTGTATGGCATAGATGCGATCCGAGTAGCCCTGCGGAAAGTAGAGCGCTGCGGGGCTTGTCAGTGGTGAGGGGCGTTAGTGGATCGGGAAATAACCGATTGAGCTGCGAACCGGTTGGCGTATTGATTTTGTGCCTTCATCGAATCGGTTTGGATAGCTAGCCAATTCAAAGTTGAACCGGTTCGAGTTTCAAGGCTAGATTTGCCTCAATGGGTCAAAGTGTCACCAAGTTCACGTACCGGTTCGGAGTTGAACCGCTTTAAGCTGCTTTGGAGCTGAACCGGCAAGCGTTTGAACCGGTTCAAATCTTAACCGTACTTTGTAATTTGCTTGAACCCGTTCGAACTACAGTTCTCTCTAAGTTAACACTTTGTGGAATTAGGTAGTCCATTGAGTAACTCTGAATGTAAGCCTATCAAACCGGTTCGTATCTAGGTATTGAACTGCAAACCGGTTCTAAGTTGCACAGTTTTAAACGTTTAATAACACTGAAGGTAGAGCCAAACGAACCGGTTCAAGGCAGCTCACTGAACCGGTACACAAGTTGAATGAATGGCCAAACTCACCGCTTAGCATCTTGAGCTGCTGCTCATTGATCCAGAGTGAGATGCCCTGCTCCTCCATGCGATTGTGGCGATTGTGATTGTTGTTGCCCTGCTGTTTCTTGCGCGGACCACGCCGGTGTCCATGGCCAGCGGCAATGCTGCTGTCGTTGTCCGCAAAGTTATCGATGACATCATCGCCATGGCTCTGGTTCTCCTCCGAGCTGGCCGATTCGCCTCGTCTATTGTTGTTGTTGTTTTTGTTATTGTTATTATTGTTGTTGTTGCGATTGTGATGCTGGCGACACTCGAGCTGGCCGATGCACAACAAGGTTTGCACAATTAGCACCACATAGAACCACTTGACAAAGCAACCAAATCCCTGCTGTGGCATATTTCTAATAACGAACAAAATGAGAAGCAAACAGATTTCAGCAGATCATCAATTAATAGACAAGCAGCCGGGCAAGCCCAGATCAGATTGAAGCTAAACAGAGACCCAGAGACCAGAGAGACCTCCTTCGAAATAAAAACTTCATCATCAATGATATTTGATTGTTTGCATTTCCATTTGCTTACTTTTCATGCCTCTTCATTAAGTGCCGCATTGGCAAATATTGGCTTAAGTATTCATCAAATACGCGGGCGCATTTAAACCTGATATCCGTGTCTGTATTTTTGCAATGTGGACACTTATTCGAATATCGTACGATTGAGCTATCCATCTGGATAGTTTATATAAACATCAGACTCAGGGCTTTCCATATGACAGCTGTGTCTTGTGGTTTCTCCTCCTGCCCCCCACCAATTGGAACAGCAAAGTCAACAGTTTACTTACAATAATACAAAATATCTATAGATTTATGTTTATGAATCCATTTAGTTATATGCATGCTAATCTATCTATCATCTATCTAAAAACTCTTCTTTTCAAAATCCTCGAGATGTCAGCAAATTTGTTCAAAAACTTTGTCTCTGATTAAATTTTGAACCGTTTTGGCAAATATTTGATTCATTTTCAATTCCTGCATGGAACTAGTTCTTTTTTTTTTTTTGTAACCCGACTAAGAATTTAGAACCCCAAAGCACAAACACCTTCTCAGCTTTGTCTTTAAATCGCTTGAAAGAGCGACTGGTTCAGAAATTTGAAAAGTTATAAATCTATAAATTACATTAAAGATAGACAGATAGAAGATATATAAGTTCTCGACTGTAAGGTAGAGATCCGAGTTTCACAGGAAGTTATTATAGATCGAAGATGGCTGCGCATGAATAATAATAATAATAACAATAATAATGACAATGATATTAATAATAATAATAATAATAATAATAATAATAATAATAATAATAATAATAATAATAATAATAATAATAATAATAATAATAATAATAATAATAATAATAATAATAATAATAATGATAATGATAATAATAATAATAATAATAATAATAATAATAATAATAATAATAATGACAATGATGACAATATTAATGATAATAATAACAATAATAATAATTATGATAATAATAAAAATAATAATAATAATAATAATAATAATAATAATAATAATGCTAATAATAATGACAAAAACAATAATGTTAATAATAACAATAATACAATAATAATAATAATAAGAATAATAATAAACTAAAGGTATGTTTTACTTTCAAGACAATGAAACACTTTTTAACACCTGGCATGAGCCAATTTTTGAATACATTTTATTAATTTTGCTGCCCATGGAGTTTGGCTAGGAGTTTTTTTTTTAGTTTTTCTATTCCCACGATAATCAGTTGAACAATGTAAAATAAGAGATGTGACATTTGAATACCCTTGCCACTCATTTGGCTCGAAAGATATCTTAAAAAAGGTAAAACAAATAAAAACTTCTTACGATCTTCATGAAATCTTAAGAGCTTCAATATGAGAGGTTAAAGTTAACATGACAAACTGCCCTCATTCCCCTTAAGAGGGGACTAATGGGCTCTGAGACTCCATGTTACATACATTTGCAGAAAACTATTATACCCGTTCTGTGCACAAATCTTCAATGGGTAGAGTGTATTAAAAACACAATGCGGACGCGATCATTAATGGACACAAGAGTCTGAGAGTCTGTGGGCCCGAGAGCCGCAGACCGAGTGCAGGTACAAAATCGTTAGCACTTGGCATGGTGTGAAGAGTTGACCAAGACAACAAGGGGCTAGTCATAGCGACAGACGACGCAGAAATTTAACATAACAGAGAAGAAAAACGATATATGCAGGCGAGCAAGTGAACGGGCCAGGCCAAGATAGACCTAACCGAGCCGGGCCGGGCCAGACAGACAGAGAGTCGGACAGGCAGCGGGTCCACTTGGCTGGCCGTTCGTCTGGGCATATATGAATGAGCGTAACGAGAGGCGAAGTGCAGGAAAACAAGTTGAGGTGTCTTAATAAGATCAAACATGGCGATTATGAGGAATTACTTGAAGATAATGACATGTGGCTTTTACACAAGGAATGACATTGCAATTGAGGTTATGTATGCGATGGCAATGCGAAATGTTGTGCTAGGCGGATGCAACAATTGAATGCAAATGCAAAAAAAAAAACAGTTATCAATTAAATACGCTTTGTTTTATATTAATTAAGGCCAAGTTGAATTGATTTTAAATGCGCTTCTGCAGGGCAAAACGAATTTTGAATTTGAGGTTAGGTTTTCGGCAAAGTTGAGCATTTTTTGATTTTATCATCTGCTTAAGCTTCAATTAGGCTTAATTTGCGCTTTAATTGAACATCTTGAGTCTTATGGGCTGATTATTAGCTGGACCAGCTAATTGGTTCTGCGTCTGAATTATTAAGAACAAATTGCTGGGAACGGAAGTGCTGGGATTTTAATTTACGCATATTTTGAAAAAAGATTGAATAAAAAAAAATAAACAACGCAATTGCGGCTTGTTTTAGTCATAAAAATATACCGTATTATTTGTTTTGACTTTTTCATTCGAATTCTATTTGTATTAATGTTCAAATGATAAGCGCTTCACATAAAGCGATTATTAAGTCGTAGGGTACAAGTGCACAAACATAAAACGAGACCTCACAAGCCTCACAAAAAAAGCATGGCAGAGTCACATGCTTCGCTTACACTGGGCATAATAACATTTACCAGATTACAACTAAAACGTGGCTATATGCAGACATGCACAATGTCATAAATATAGAATACATTTATTTAGTATTCGAACTATATAACTGAAATTTCATAATGAATCTGGCTTAAATTGATTAATTGCTGAGGCGCAGCCAGCTTAATAAGCTGCTATGCAACAGCTTATTAAGTTGGCTGCGCCTCAAATTGCATGGCTTTTACTTTGTAAGTGTTGAACAATGCGTGAGAATGCAATCAAAAATGGTCGCTCGCTCTTTTAAGAAATGATTTCAATGTATGCAAAATATTCTCATTATCAAGCACAAATAATAATATTACAATAATTCTATGATGAGATTTAAACAAGACAATCAAAACTCTAAAATAACTGTTTTTTACAATTCAAGATTAATGCATGCAATTTTAGGTTTAAAATCTGAAAGTTCCTACTTAACGAGTTGTATCTATGACTAAACTTTAAACTCTAGTTACATTTTTGTTGTTCTTTTAAGCCAAATGCCTAACTTTAACAGATTTAAATATATAATAACTATAATCTATATTCTACTGAAGTTCTATTCCATAAGGTATGCAACATTCGTTGACAACTTTTTGTTAGCCAGTGTAGCTTATACTAATTGTAATAAGCCTGATGAAATTTGAAACGAACTTCACACAATTCTAATCTATTTAAAAATGCCATAAGATCAGATCACAACAGATCATATAATATATAAATACATACATATATGCGCGAGCAGATCTCACGTGTTGGAGAATGGAGACGTTTGACAAAATGAAGATATGAACGGACAAATGCCTAGACAAATACATCTATACATAATTGCATTGACAGCGACAACGGACTGAAACGGGCCGATTAACATTTTAGCGTGAAACCGAAGACGGCGACAACAACAACAACAACAACAACAACAACAGCAGCAGCAACAATTTGTTAGCTTTTTACGATTATTGCCTTTCTCACACCTTATTACCAAGAAAATAAAGAAGCAGCAACAACAACAACAACGACAAATAGGCGACAATGAAATGTGAAAATAAAAAAAAAAACACATTCAGTGAGAACAAGAAGCTGACCAGGCTGAGAGCACGGATGCCAAGACAAGTTCGGCCTGGCTACGCTCCAGAGCAAGAACAGACCGAGAGCTCTGGAAATTGCAGTATACATATGCATACATACATATATGTGCATGTATACATGTGCATGCATAGACATGCGCATGTGTGCATGTCTTTTAAAGAGAAGGGCGACTAACCTGGGCACACTCGAAGTCGGGCAGTTTGTTAAGAGGCGATCATAAACAATCTTACACAATATAAATGACAACAACAAACAGCAGAAGAGGACAGACACACAGACACACACACACAGACACACACAGACGCACACACGTACGGACGGACGGGCACACTGCTGCTGCTGCTGCAGAAGAAGCAGAACAAATTGTTGCCAAAAGGAGTCGACAGACGTTAACTGAATGTGAACTGAACTAAACAATGCCAAAAGGCTGGCCGGGCTAAAATGCGCCTCGAGGCACAACAGGCAATCGGGCCCAATTCACTGGCTACCGATTAAAGCGATGCCAACAACAACAACAACAACAAGAAGCAGAAGAAGAAGCAGAAGAAGAGTGACCAACACTTGCAGCAGTGTTTGCCTAATGAACACACAGCAAAAGCAACAACAACACCAACTTGACATGAGAGCACGAAAAACACCTTCAGCAAATACTCGCGAACGGGCAGTCTGCAATTGGGGCATATGCGACTATTGTATGCACTGCACTGTTAGCTGTTTTTAGCCATGTCTGACTGGGCGTATTTACATAATAGTTTTCGCAGTTAATGTAGATAATAGATAAACAAAACGCTCTACACGAAACTTGGCATATTGGTTTTCTGCTTTATGTTGCTTATGGTACTCTACATTTTGAATAGATTGCTACAAAATCGTATTGGAATTATCCATCAATGTAAAACAATTCATTTTCTTATGGTTATTACAAGGAATTCAAGCTTCAAATCAGACCAAATTCTTTTAAATAAGCAACTTTTGAAAAAACTTTATCTAACTTTCGGATATTCGAATTTTTCTATATAAAGCTTCTTTTTTGTTTTCTGCTTACAAGAAAAGCCACATTATTTGTTATACTTATTCATTTATATATCTCTATATAAAGTATGATATATCTATTTTTGTTTGGCAAAAAGGAAGTATTGGAATTACCTCTGAACCAAAAATACTCTAACTTGCAAGAGACTATATTTTCTGGAAAACAAATAATCCTGTTTTAAAAATCAGTGAATCGATGCTAGTTTCTTAGCAAGGCTGCAAGCTGGTTCAAAAAAGGAAACACTTAACCAAACTCAAGGCATAATTGGGTTTCAGCCATTGGATTTATCTTAACCATATTTGGTAGGACACAAATCAAATGTAGCCCGCAAATTCTATTTGAAAATATCATTAGCTTGCAATATTTTCATAAGAACGGGCAATTTTTAACTAAACATTTAAATGTTATATTAAAATGTTGTAAATATATGTCAAACTGAGATTTAAACCAGCAAGGATGTGTAAAATCGGATTGTGAATCAAATGTACATTTTGAATACCTTTGGCCATGTGCCCGAAGCCATGAAGATACAGGCCAAGACTCACACAAACACAAACACATAAGCACACACACACACGCACACGCACACAGACACAGATAGCAACAACGACTGTCTCCAAGTGGGCTCAAGTACCGCTGCCAGCGTCGCTGTCAGCGTCGGCGTCGCAGCTTGCGCCCAGTGCACACTGTCAAGTAGCCAGCGCGAGACAAGCAGGCTGGCCAAGACAAAACGACAGACGCTGCGGGACGGTGCGGGACGTGCTTGTACGAACTGGCTGCTGAGGGTGCGAAAGGGTAGGGGCAGAGGGGCGGGGGGCGACATGTTGTTCAATCGGACAGACGTGCAGACGCGCAGCAGCAGCAGCAGAAGCTGCTTCACAGAAACAGAACTCTGTATTCTGATTTTGCGCCTGTGTGCAGGCACCGTTGCTGTATGTGTGCGTATGTGTGTGTGTGTTGTATACGATCCTGATCGAGAGTTTTGCACACCATTCCATTTGTTTGTCGTAGTTGCTCACGGCTCACGGGAAGCATTCAAGTGGCCCGGCCGGCCGGCCGGCTGCCTGGCTGGCTGGCTGGCCTACCAACAAGCCAAGGTGTCAGCGATGCCAGCAGCGGCAGCGGCAGCGGCACCGGTTCCATGCGTCGCCACTGGGGGCAGGCAGCAACAGCACAGTTCGAAGGCGTCTGTTTGTGCCTACATTGGACAATGACTTTCACGCTTTTCAAGCGCGCCAAAAAGCAAACAACAACAACAACAACAACAACAGCAGCAGCAAGTAAATGCATATAAATACATGCACATACATACACACATCTGTATGTATGTATGTATTTATATACAGCAAGTACAGGCGGCCCAACTGGCGGCTATTCATAAGACAAAAAATTACAACACACACACGCACACATTTACATTAAAAGGCCATCGAAAGGCTAAGTCGAATTTAATACACTGCGCCGCACCTTAAGTCAAAACCAAAATCGCAAATAAACTTTAAATATTTATAAGCAAAGCTTTCATTGAAAATTGTTAAGGCATCAAAAGCAAAAGCTCACGATTGAAGTTGAATTTTCGCCATCAATTTGTTGCACTAGTTGCACCAGTTTTGTTCAGTGTATTTGCATGTACTTATGCTGTGAGGATCACTTAGTTCAAGCTCAGCTGATTATTGAAGCTGCGCTTGAAAGCTTTACTTGCTTACTCCCTTGCTCTCACGCACGCACGCACGCACGCATCAATTACCGCTCAGGGTCACAAGCGAAAAAAAAAACAACAAAAATAAAGAAAAAGGGTTCGAATCGAGGCATTACGTAATTTATCGACAAATCGGTTGTTAGCCGGCTTCGCCTTTGTCGCACTTTCAGTTTTGTTGTTGTTTTTGGCATTCAATTTGCAGGGAAGCTGCAACATGCACATCACCATCAGCATCATAATCATTATCATCGTTCATAATCGTAATCATCATGATCGTTCGTTAAAATCGTTGGACAGGCAATCAAGTAAATGACGGGGACAGGCGCAACATTAATTGAACGATCGTGTTGGGCAATGATTGAAATCGATTGATATTTAACCGTTGCGAGCGGGCAACAGTGTTGCAAATTGTTTGTTGTTCTTGTTGTTGTTCGTCTTGTTGAATATAAAGCCATTTTTGGCGCTATAAAATATTTTTTTGGCGCTCACAATTCACTTCCTTTTTTTTTCTTTTTGTATTCAGATAATTATTTGCAATGCGTATTTTTGGCGAATTTAAGTTTTACTTTAGCTTCGCTTAGCTTCAAGCGTTTAAACCAAAAACAGTCAAATTTTATGAATTTCACACGCACACACGAGCATACAAATAAAATGTAATTATTTCTATTTATTTACATTGGCTTAAACCATTAATGTAACAGCAACAAAAATTATTTTAGTTTTGCAAATTCGTTTGCAGAGGACTACGAGTAGTACCGTTCGAAACCGTTGACGAGTATTAACTTTTTGTTGATGTATTGCTGTACAGTGTGGCCGGTGCCAGCGAATGGCCAAAAACGACAAAATACTAAATGCAATTAAGCAGCTGTATGCACATGTATATACTAAAACTCTGTTAGTTAGCAGAACATTTTGAGTTTTACTTGAACGAAATTTAACTTTAATGTTAAAGTAACGGCTTTTGTTTTAACATGAATCGGATTATAACATGGCCACAGTTCAAATCGGCAAATATTTGAAAAAAATTTATTTTTCCTGATTTAGTTTAACTGATGTTCAAGACAAGTTGGCTAATTTACTAGAATTGGTATTATTTGATTTTTTAACATTCAAATTCCAAAATTACCTTTCTAGATTTAAGAGTTAAGATTTACTCAAATTAAGAAATGAGAATACTTAAAAAAAAAAAAATATGTGTATTAAGTTAAGTTTAGCTTACTCATCAAGTTTTATGCACTTTTTTTTTAACTTTTTTTTTTGTTTGTTTAATTTCGTTTTAATATCTTTAAAGTTGGTAGTTTCTCATTTAGTTGGGTTTACAATAGATTACAATTACATTTACAATACATACATAATAAAAATGTGAATTATTAAAAACTGGTAACTGATGTTATGAAATATACATCAAAAATCGTTATAATAGGCACATATAAAGCAATGACTAAATCAGAGATACATATACACATATATATATATATATATATATTTAGAATGCACAATGCTGGGCATACGCATATGTACGCATTTATATAGCAGACGTCGGTGCACATGCATACATACATGCACACACACACACACACATACATATATATATATATATATGTTTACGCTTTTTGACAAGTTAACCATTTTAACGGAATTTAATCGCTGTGTATATAAATATTTAGTTGGCTTTACGCATAAAAAGCAATTTCAAATTTTCTTTTTTTTTTTTTTGTAACTTTTCAAGTTGTTTCGATTTCTAATTGAGTGTGTGTGTGTGTGTGTGTGGACTAGTCGGTGGGGTTGTAATAATCGCTGCTGGGATAGCTGTCGATGCCGACCCCGACATCTCCTGCTCCGGCGACAGATCCTTGCTAACGGACATTATGCTGCAGGCAAACATGAAAATAAACATAAACATTGAGTTCTGTTACTGCAACGCCAATCTCGAGCACTCACTTCATGGTCTGACTATGCGACATGTTGCGGCTGATGTTGTACGCGTGCATTGTATGCCGATGCTGCTCCACAGAGTGCGAATTCGCCGAGCAGATCTCCATGTAGGCCAGAACTGTTGGTTGTGTGCAAGTGGCCGGGGCGAGAGCGAATAAGAAAGAAAAGAAAAACAATTTTAATGCACCTGTCACAACAAGCCAAACCAAAACAAGCGCACAGCGAACAGCGCGCCAGCTGACAACAGTTCCAATCAGTGACTGGGGGGGATTTGCGCTCCATTTGGCGTCATGTGCCATATCGAAACGGGGCTAGAGATGGGCGCAATGCGTTTTATATTGGCTCCGATTGCTATTCAAGGGGCACAACCTTTAACAAGGTTCGAACCCAAGTCTCACTTTACACATACATATGTACATAAGTAATCAGGTACGCGAACAGAACTTTTGTCTCTCCTAAAACCAAATATTTAAACCTAAGAAAATAACATGCTTGTTAATTTACAATGAACCAAATACCAAGAAAGTTACAACATTTCGTTCAATTACAATATTTAAATATCATAGCATGGGGGGAGTTCACGAATCGAACCGTCTGCAACTCTTTTCAGAGTTCTAACTTGACGCTCGTTGAAATTGATACGATTTGCGCCCATCTCTGTGCGCTGCCCCGGCATCGAATCCAAAGCCGGAACTGCGAATATGCAACAGGTAAGCGCGCAACAACAAACAACATAAACACATAAACAATAACAAAATCAATTAAAGCCAGGGCAAACGGGAACCAAAGAGGAACTAGTTCCACGGCGAAGGCGCAACACAACAGCAACAGCGTTAGGTAGCGTAACGAATACTGTATACCCTTTCCATTTATGTGAAGTGAAACATTTTATTATATACGAAATATATACGAAAATATTTGCAGAAATATTTATGAAAAATATAAAGTGAAAAACTCTTGGGGAATAGCCTTAATAACAGAAAAATCTATAAAATCTTAAGTCAATTTCACGCGTTTCTGTGGAATCCAACCTGTGGATTGTGGATCTGTGGAATTCGAACCAAACCAAATATGTATATATATATATATCTTTTTTGATTGGAAAGGATATGCAACAGATTCGTAGCGAAACAAAGGCAAACAAACAAGTTGAACAGAAACATATATGTATATAGAAGAAGGAGGAAGCAGAAGAAGAAGAAGGAAAAAACAAACGAAAAAGGAGGCGAACAGCTGCAGAGCAGCTAGACTTACCCGAGAATGCGACACTTTGAAAATCTAGATGTTGATTGGAACGATAATTTAGTTGGGTTAGAGTTTTGCGTACAACAATTTGGCAAGGTTTTTTTTCGTATTGCTCAACATTGGCAATATTACGAGTGCTATAAATAAAAGTTTTGCTACAAATTCTTAACTGCCTAACTACAAAAACAAATATACATATATAAAATATATATATGGATTTGTTGCTGATTGTTAATGTTGGTAGACTGATTGATTGATTGACTGATAGACTGATTGTTGTCGTTGTTGTTGTTGTTGTTGTTGTTGTTGTGGTTGCCTGATTGTTGTTGTACGGCTGCCTGTTGCCAGTTGTTGATGCTGTCGTTCGTCTGGGCAGGGGGGCAGGAGGGCTGCGTGTTTGTGTCTGTTCTCTTTACTTTTCATTTTGTTTTTCTGTTTTTTTGTTTTTGTTGTGGGCAGGAGCCAAGAAATGTGTTTTGTGTGTAGCGTGTCCTTGTTGTGAATGGATGCGAAACAACAAAGCAAAACAAAACGCAAAACGCAAAAAAGAAGTGCAACAGAAAGTCATAAGACTGAAGAAATTGTGTTTACACAGGTGTGTGTGTGTGCGCGCGTTAGGCATTTAAGCGTATCACAGTTGGCACACACACACACACACGCACACACATTCACCGACAAGTAAAGCTAGCCATAAAAAATAAAACAGTTGAAAACTCACCGCTTGGCATTGCCTGTGGCGACACCTAGCGGTTAAGTTTGGCAAACAAATGAAATACATGCAAATTGTTACACATACAAACACACACGCACATACATGTATACACAAAAGCAGTTTATCAAAAAAAAATAGAGAGAAAATACAAAAAAAAAAAACAAATACAAATAAAATAATAATAGGAACCAAATGTAAATATATAAGTATGTGCGCATTTGGCAATCTGTGCTTACTGTGCTTCTTATTCCTCGGCAGCGGCGGCGGCTTCTCCAAATGCCTGTGGTGCAGCTGCGTCGACGAAGAATGATGCTGATGATGTGGCGACAATTGACGCATCTCTGGCATTTCGCTGCAATACAAGCAGAAAACAAGCAAAATAGAAAACAATTCAAATACAATAGAAAATAAAGTATTCAATTGCAAAGTGCTCTCATTGTTCTGTGCAAAATCATGCTATCAACGCCATACACAAACTGGCTAACTGTTCCCACTTTGCTCGGCTGGCGTTGCCACACAATATATATATAAGTGGCCTACACGTACAAAATGCAATCGTCCAGCATATCCATGGCCGCATCAAACAGTGACAATGTTGTACGCTGCTGCGTCTTGGGTGGCAACGCCGGCGCCAGCTCCGGCGACGGGCAATTGCTGCCCAGCGCCAGCAACTGTTCACTGTTAAGAAATTTAAATGAAAATAAAATTAAATTTCCCATAGACAAAATATTTGGGGAGCTTCAATAAACCATATTATTATTATATTTCTTTTTGACAAAACTTGTCCGGATTTTAAACAAATTTCTTTTTAAAGGAAAAATACATTTATTTTGTAGCTATTTTTTTTTTCTTATAAATAAATGTATAACATTTAGTTACAAATACATTTACAATTAAAATTTGCTCTACTTGGGAAACGAAAGTACACATACGTGACAATATACATATATATATATAATTATATATATATATATATGAACTAATCAGTTAAGTTAAACATACAATACATGTAAATATAGACAATTGAAAAAAAAAATATATAAACAAAAACAAAAAAAAAAATATGTGTATTAAGTTAAGTTTAGCTTACTCATCAAGTTTTATGCACTTTTTTTTTAACTTTTTTTTTTGTTTGTTTAATTTCGTTTTAATATCTTTAAAGTTGGTAGTTTCTCATTTAGTTGGGTTTACAATAGATTACAATTACATTTACAATACATACATAATAAAAATGTGAATTATTAAAAACTGGTAACTGATGTTATGAAATATACATCAAAAATCGTTATAATAGGCACATATAAAGCAATGACTAAATCAGAGATACATATACACATATATATATATATATTTAGAATGCACAATGCTGGGCATACGCATATGTACGCATTTATATAGCAGACGTCGGTGCACATGCATACATACATGCATGCACACACACACACACACACACATACATATATATATATATATGCACATAGTTAGGTAGTTAGTTTGGTAGCTTTTAATTTTGATTCAATTTTTAGTTTTTTTTTTTTTGTTTTCTTCGTGTACATAGTTGTAGTATATAGTAGTATATGGTGGATCGGTTTTATGCGCGTGTGTGTGTGTGTGTTGTGCAACTTGGCTAAAGTTTCGTTTATAACAATTTCTATAAGCAGTACATACAAATACGCGTATATGTAGCTTTAGTAAAGATACATGAAATATTACTACATATATACTAAAGACAGTCTTGTTTCTATGTGCGTGTGTGTGTGTGAGTGAGTGAGTCAGTAAGTTAGTATGTGTGTGTGTGTGTGTGTGTGTGTGTGTAACGCTCTGTATAAGTTCATGTACACATACATATGCACATATGTGGTACACATAAAGCGCTGTATATAGCACATACACAGATTAAATATACATAAAAGAATCCAAAATTTGTATACTTGCAAGTTGTAGGTATACATATATGTATATAATATAATATATTACAACTTGTAACATATACACATACACATATATATGTATAGGTAAAAATAGTGTGCAGTTGTTGTGCTTGTTCTTGTGTGTATGATCAGTGTTGCCAATTAACAGCTATATTTAGCTATGTATTTGGCTACTTTCTTGAAGCGGCAGCTGGTAACACTTACTACTGTGTGCATGAGACTTGAACGTGAAAGCGTGTGCGTGTCGCGTGTATGTGTGTGTGTGTGTTTGAAATGCAGTTCATGCATGTGTTTGTGTGTGTAAGTGTATATATGTATGCATATAGTATATCATATATATATAATCGCTTAGCTTAACTAATGTACACTTTGTATAGAGTTAAATAGTTTGCAATTCTTTCTTTTTGTTTACGCTTTTTGACAAGTTAACCATTTTAACGGAATTTAATCGCTGTGTATATAAATATTTAGTTGGCTTTACGCATAAAAAGCAATTTCAAATTTTCATTTTTTTTTTTTTTTTGTAACTTTTCAAGTTGTTTCGATTTCTAATTGAGTGTGTGTGTGTGTGTGTGTGTGTGTGTGTGTTTGTGTGTGTGCGTGTAGGTAAATGCCGAATGAATTTAAAATTTCGTATTGTTTATAGTTTATCTTTTAGCCAGTTGTGCATACAGCTGAGGCTGCAATTGGTTTTAATTCAGGACACATACATAAACGCGAGTCGTTTAAACACGTGCGCAGGTGGAGGTAAATTAGCGGTTTCTGTAGGGAGTTCTTGGGGGTTTATACAATTCGTGATTATAAATAGTTAGTCAAACTATTTGTTAGCCAATTAGCCAGCCGTATGCACAAGATTTATTTATTACATATCGATTTCATGAGTTCATGAATTTGTTCGTGTTTTTTTTTCTATACTCTTTCTTTCGATTTGGTGTCTCTAGGTGATTGTATACGTTCGGGTTCGACGATTTAGCGCTTATTTTAAAACACATAAAACTCGTAATTTATATTAAATTGTTGTTTTTTTTTTTTTTTTTTGGCTCTACATACACGTAAATATTGTTAACATAGTTTCTAAAAAAAAAAAAAAAAAAATAAAAAGTAAAAAACAAAACGAGCACGTTTCGAAAATTCGTTGTTAATACACAGTTAGAATATTTAAAGAAGTTAACGTTGGTAATTAGGAATTTTATGTGTGCTGCCAAATATCGTGACGGTAACTATGTTAGCCGTTAGATCGCTTGTTACCAATACACATGCACACACATATATATATATATAGATATATATATAATTCTTACAATATCCATGCATGCTTAATATTTGCTTTTACATATTTTTCGAACTACACGTATCGTATTTAACTCGGTTTTTTTAGTAATATATATTGTATTTTTTCCGTTTTTTTAGGTACATTTTATGTGCATGCACATATGCAACTGCATCTATTGCTATATATAGATATATACACATAAAAGTCGTGTATACATACATATATATATATATATATGTATATAGCTTATATACGTATTTAGTATAGAGTAGTGTGAATGATCGATTGTACTCAGACCCAGTTAGATAAGTTGACGACGGCGTGTGTTATGTCTAAGGGAGTTATGCACATCCACGGCGCGCGCACCCACACCCACACACACACGCGGAAGGTGTGTATGTGTGTGTGTGTGTGTGTGTGTGTAAACATTGCACTTTTAAATGCAGTTGGTGTTGTTGCTGCATAAAGACTAATAGTTGACGGGGCGTCGACCACGTGGCTTAATGCGCTCCGATATCTGCCACATCTCCTCCTCGCCCATGAAATCCTTAAAGTTATCAAAGAAGCCAATGATGCGTTCATTGCGTCGAAATGGATAGGCGCTAGAATACAAATGGGCGCATATTATATACATGACATACATATATCTATAAATATAATTGTGTGTGTGTGTGTTAAATTCACCATTTCTTGAAACGCTTCATATTGACAATGATATTGTATTGCTGCCAGCGTTTCGAAAAGTTAATAACACCCTTGGACACATAGTCCTGATTGCCCACATGCACAAAGGTCAGATCCTGTAGTACCAGACCGCTGCAGGGTATACAAAATAGATGCAATTGATAATCTTGATATATATATATATAGAATGGCATCATTCGTTGGCTTACATGTAGGGAATGCAGGGTGGATTGGTTTCGGCAAGCGCCTGACGATAGGCCCGAAAACTGGAACTCGAATCGATGAGCGCACAAAACGAGCGCACCTCCTCCGCAATGCCCTTCTGCCATTCCAGTCTGCAAAAGGGGAAAGGGCTGTTAATAATTGCCATCAATTGGGCTAATTGGGTAATTACCTGCGTATGGGGCCCGAATCGAGCGCTGAGAGCAGCGCCAGATACGAATTGTAATTGTTCATTTTGCGTAAATGCTTCATGATTTTAATAAATTTATTCACATGCTTTTCGCGCTCTTTGGCGTCCTGTAGACGCAAGATTTTGGAGCGCGCCCAATAGGACATTTTATTAAAGTGCTCGGTGAATTTATTGAGATTGGGTGATTTCTCCTCGCACTGATCTTTGGCAAATAATAATACTTCGGGTATCTCGATTTTCTGAAAAAGCTCCGCATCCAGCAATGTCATCTGCTCGGCTATTTCCAATGACTTCAAGTCGAGCAGACTGGGCTGATTTGTATTGCTGCCGCTGCCCAATTGATCGGGCACATAGGCGTAGCTCCTTTGATCCTTATATAGCGTTACCTTCTCCACAAACTTGTTGCGCAGCAGCTTGGCCAAATACAGCTGGCCGGAGCAGACCAGCTGATAAACAAACTCAACCAGCAAACTAAGCAGCTGGCTTGTCAGATCCGTCGAGCTGTTTGTCAAATCAATTTAGTTTGCGTGAATTGAAATGCAATTCTTTTGGGCTTTGAAAGTTAATATATATATCAAAACACTTACGTCAGATCATTGACGACACGCACCAGCAGCGAGAAGGTCTCCTTGGCGGCCTTCTGCTTCTGATCGTGCACCTGGCAGAAGAAGTATGTGTAACGATGGGTCAGCTTCTCGATCACATCGATCGGCTGAATGAAGGTGCGGAAGGTTGTAATGAACGCCTCGCTGAATGCTGCATGGGCGAAATGAACAACAAATGGATTTTGGTTTAAATGACGCTTACGGATACTAAGAACGCTGCTTGTATGTTTATTGCGATTGCGATTGCGATTGCGACGATGATGATTATGATGATGATGCCTACCATTATCAGCGACCTTCTGGACGCGACTGGCGTGCACGATCAGCGCATCGATGTAGCCGCCCTTCACTTCTGGGCCATCCTCCTCCTTCTTTTTGAGTATTAGGTATGGCGTTATGTCGATCTCTTCCAGCATGTTTGGCAATTGATTATCGACCTCACCCTCGTCGTCGTCCTCCTCATCCTCCTCGCCATCGATGTCCTGCTCCTCATCTTCTGCAAGCTCTAGCTCGCCTGGCTGCAACGGCTGCTCCTTGGCCCCACCTTGCTCCACATCGCCAGCATCCAGCATTTTGGGTGTGCTTATGGGCGTGGCTAGCTGCTGCTCGCCTGCCCCAGCTTTTGCCGACTCGCTGGGCAGCTGATGTGAGTGACAATAGTAGGTGTGGCTGCCGGCAGCGTTCACGTTTTCATTGCTATCCAACGCGGCCGCAGCCGCAGCTGCTGCGCTTGCCTCATCCGAGTGTGTCGGCGGATCGTTGAGCTCCTCACAGACGGTCGTCATGCGGCAGCCCCTTAGAGAACCGTCGCTGAGCATTGGCTTCGGACTAGCCGGTGGGGTTGTAATAATCGCTGCTGGAATTGCTGTCGATGCCGACCCCGACGTCATGGTAGTTGAGGGCTTGCGCTGCTTGTAATTCTTGGGCGGCAGCGCTGGCGGCATCTCCTGCTCCGGCGACAGATCCTTGCTAACGGACATTATGCTGCAGGCAAACATGAAAATAAACATAAACATTGAGTTCTGTTACTGCAACGCCAATCTCGAGCACTCACTTCATGGTCTGACTATGCGACATGTTGCGGCTGATGTTGTACGCGTGCATTGTATGCCGATGCTGCTCCACAGAGTGCGAATTCGCCGAGCAGATCTCCATGTAGGCCAGAACTGTTGGTTGTGTGCAAGTGGCCGGGGCGAGAGCGAATAAGAAAGAAAAGAAAAACAATTTTAATGCACCTGTCACAACAAGCCAAACCAAAACAAGCGCACAGCGAACAGCGCGCCAGCTGACAACAGTTCCAATCAGTGACTGGGGGGGATTTGCGCTCCATTTGGCGTCATGTGCCATATCGAAACGGGGCTAGAGATGGGCGCAATGCGTTTTATATTGGCTTCGATTGCTATTCAAGGGGCACAACCTTTCACAAGGTTCGAACCCAAGTCTCACTTTACACATACATATGTACATAAGTAATCAGGTACGCGAACTGAACTTTTGTCTCTCCTAAAACCAAATATTTAAACCTAAGAAAATAACATGCTTGTTAATTTACAATGAACCAAATACCAAGAAAGTTACAACATTTCGTTCAATTACAATATTTAAATATCATAGCATGGGGGGAGTTCACGAATCGAACCGTCTGCAACTCTTTTCAGAGTTCTAACTTGACGCTCGTTGAAATTGATACGATTTGCGCCCATCTCTGTGCGCTGCCCCGGCATCGAATCCAAAGCCGGAACTGCGAATATGCAACAGGTAAGCGCGCAACAACAAACAACATAAACACATAAACAATAACAAAATCAATTAAAGCCAGGGCAAACGGGAACCAAAGAGGAACTAGTTCCACGGCGAAGGCGCAACACAACAGCAACAGCGTTAGGTAGCGTAACGAATACTGTATACCCTTTCCATTTATGTGAAGTGAAACATTTTATTATATACGAAATATATACGAAAATATTTGCAGAAATATTTATGAAAAATATAAAGTGAAAAACTCTTGGGGAATAGCCTTAATAACAGAAAAATCTATAAAATCTTAAGTCAATTTCACGCGTTTCTGTGGAATCCAACCTGTGGATTGTGGATCTGTGGAATTCGAACCAAACCAAATATGTATATATATATATATCTTTTTTGATTGGAAAGGATATGCAACAGATTCGTAGCGAAACAAAGGCAAACAAACAAGTTGAACAGAAACATATATGTATATAGAAGAAGGAGGAAGCAGAAGAAGAAGAAGGAAAAAACAAACGAAAAAGGAGGCGAACAGCTGCAGAGCAGCTAGACTTACCCGAGAATGCGACACTTTGAAAATCTAGATGTTGATTGGAACGATAATTTAGTTGGGTTAGAGTTTTGCGTACAACAATTTGGCAAGGTTTTTTTTCGTATTGCTCAACATTGGCAATATTACGAGTGCTATAAATAAAAGTTTTGCTACAAATTCTTAACTGCCTAACTACAAAAACAAATATACATATATAAAATATATATATGGATTTGTTGCTGATTGTTAATGTTGGTAGACTGATTGATTGATTGACTGATAGACTGATTGTTGTCGTTGTTGTTGTTGTTGTTGTTGTTGTTGTGGTTGCCTGATTGTTGTTGTACGGCTGCCTGTTGCCAGTTGTTGATGCTGTCGTTCGTCTGGGCAGGGGGGCAGGAGGGCTGCGTGTTTGTGTCTGTTCTCTTTACTTTTCATTTTGTTTTTCTGTTTTTTTGTTTTTGTTGTGGGCAGGAGCCAAGAAATGTGTTTTGTGTGTAGCGTGTCCTTGTTGTGAATGGATGCGAAACAACAAAGCAAAACAAAACGCAAAACGCAAAAAAGAAGTGCAACAGAAAGTCATAATATAAGACTGAAGAAATTGTGTTTACACAGGTGTGTGTGTGTGTGTGTGTGCGTTAGGCATTTAAGCGTATCACAGTTGGCACACACACACACACACACGCACACACATTCACCGACAAGTAAAGCTAGCCATAAAAAAAAACAGTTGAAAACTCACCGCTTGGCATTGCCTGTGGCGACACCTAGCGGTTAAGTTTGGCAAACAAATGAAATACATGCAAATTGTTACACACACAAACACACACGCACATACATGTATACACAAATGCAGTTTACCAAAAAAAAAAATAGAGAGAAAATACAAAAAAAAAACAAATACAAATAAAATAATAATAGGAACCAAATGTAAATGTATATGTATGTGCGCATTTGGCAATCTGTGCTTACTGTGCTTCTGCTTCCTCGGCAGCGGCGGCGGCTTCTCCAAATGCCTGTCAAAGGCGCTGCTGCAGCTGCTGGGCAAATGGGCGCTCCGCGGCGGCTCAATGAGACTGTGATGCTTGGAATGCCACTGGTGCAGCTGCGTCGACGAAGAATGATGCTGATGATGTGGCGACAATTGACGCATCTCTGGCATTTCGCTGCAATACAAGCAGAAAACAAGCAAAATAGAAAACAATTCAAATACAATAGAAAATAAAGTATTCAATTGCAAAGTGCTCTTATTGTTCTGTGCAAAATCATGCTGGCAACGCCATACACAAACTGGCTAACTGTTCCCACTTTGCTCGGCTAGCGTTGCCACACAATATATTGTATATAAATATATATAAGTGGCCTACACGTACAAAATGCAATCGTCCAGCATATCCATGGCCGCATCAAACAGTGACAATGTTGTACGCTGCTGCGTCTTGGGTGGCAACGCCGGCGCCAGCTCCGGCGACGGGCAATTGCTGCCCAGCGCCAGCAACTGTTCACTGGCAATTGTTGTTGCCATTGCCGTTGTATTGCTGCTGCTGCTGCTGCTAATGTTGCCGTTGCCGTTGCTGCTGCTAATGTTGCTGCTGCTGCTAATGTTGCTGCTGTTGCTGGTGATGTGACGTTGCGTTGTCTGCGTTTGGCTTAGCTGCTGATAATCGGTGTTGCTGCCGCTGTTGCTCGTCGAGGAGGCGCAGGTCAGCTCGTTCATGCCGAAGGCGATCTCTGAATTGCTGCTCGATGACTTTGTCGAGGATTGCACACTGTGCTCCGAGGAGCGTTTCGAGACGCTCTGCGTGGAGGTACGGAATGACATCATCGACACAAAGCCTGCGGTTAAAAATAACAACAACTAAGTTAATCAATTGCCAAATAATGGGAACACTACAACAACAACAAAAACACACACAAATTACATATTATACAAATCGTGTAAAACACAGCAATGAGAATGTATGCAAAACAATTCAAAGATCAAAGCGAATTCAAACACAATAACAAGGCAAATAACAGTGCTCTAGCCGGGAGCACCCGACTAGCAGATACCCTGACAAAGCGCACGACTCTAGCTATAAGAATGTGTTATATATTAGAGGAAGTTGGGTGGAATATTCTATATCCCAATATACTACACGAAAATCCATGCACTAAGCTTTTATCAAAATCGATAATTATCGATATAATGGAAATGGGAGATAAAATGATTAACTTTCTACAAATTTTAAGTCTCTTTTGTCTCCTTTTGTACTTTCACACAGACAGACAGATGAATAGACGGACATGGATCGATTTAGCTTGTCATCCTGATCAGGATTATGTGCATATACTCTATGGAGACAGAGTCTCTTTCATATTATGATTCACTATTTGAAGTGAGAATAAATGTCGAGCTTAAGCATAAAACTGGCAACAAATATTGATATTTTCTTTAAATCTTTGCTGATCTCAGAGACATTAGGATATTTGGAAAATTATTTTTGTTTTAAATGGCAACAAAAAAGGAATCTAATTAAGAAATCAAATCACAAAATGAAGCTTTTGGGCACATCATTTTGCAGCTTATAAAATGTTAACTAGTCTAAGCACACAGGTGGGAGACAGTCAAAGCATTAGATAAGATATAAGTAATTGCCTGGAATACCCGATTCATTTGAATGACGATTGCTGGTTAGCGCTGCGGCTGCTTTACGCAGCTCCGTGTTGGCCTCAGCTGCGCCAGAGCCGGAGCCGGAGCCAGAGCCAGAGCCGGAGCCAAGACCAGAGGCAGAGGCAGAGCTGACACCCGGCAAAGGCGGCGTCATCTGAGCGCTGGACGCGGCAGCTGCCTCCTGTGACAGCGCAGCGCCAGCCTCAGCCGGAGCCTCTGCTGGTCGCAGGCGAGTTTGAGAAATTGAGTTATAGATGGAGCTGATGTTAGGAGCTATTGCTTGCGGGCACTCACTGTAGCTGATCAGTTTGTCCACGTCGTCGTCCAACTGATGGTGTAGCGTTCTCGATGGCGGCTTCTGCAGCTGTTCCTCCTCCTCGCGTGAATGATTTAGCGCCGAGTCGAACGAGCATTGGCTGTTCTCGTCTGGTGAGCGCGAGCGCACCGAAAGGCTGCAAACGAACGAGTCGATAAGGAAATTAATCAGCGAGTGTGTAAATCAAGCGAGCTAATTATTAAAGTGTGCGATTTCAACGAGTATATATTTATCTAAATAGGCGAGTGATGGACTTGGGCGAGTTGCAAGTAAGTGAGCGAGTAGGTGATTGGAGCGAGTAAAATAGTGAGTAATTGAGCGAACGATTAGTTCGAGCGAGTAAAGCGAAAGTAAACAAGTTGGCGAGTGATTGTAGCGATTAAATGAGCGAGTGATGAAATTGGGCGAGTAAAATAGTGAGTAATTGAGCGAGTTAAGCGGAAGTGAATCAAGCGAGTATTGTGTCAAACGAGTTAATAATGAAAAATTAAGCGAGTTAGTAATATGTATTCCAATGAGCGAGTGAACGTGTTCAGCGAGTAACTAACCGGTCTACGCCATAGTTAAGCAGCGAGAAATTCGAACTGCAATCCAGATCAGAGTTTAGGCTGATATTATGCGATTGTGCGTAGGGCAACGGGCTATTCGCCTGCGACGAGTGGCTGGTGGTGGGGTTCGTATTGGTATTGGTGGATGCATTGGCATTCGCCAGCTGCGACTGCGGCTGACTGCGGCGCTTTGGTGGTAACGGCGGCGGATTGCTCGCCCGGTTGGGCAACGGCGGCTTTGGCGGCGGGCTCGTATCGCGCAGTATGCTCTCCGTGCTGTGCGAGCCGCGCATGGGATTCACATTGCTCTGCTCGAGTATGTCGCGCTCCTTGGGCGTTAGTGCAATATCGGGCAGCGAGGTGCGCTGCACCACCGCGGCCGCTGCCGCATCCGCTGGTGTGCGCAGCCCAGTCACGCTTCCCGCTGCGCTTGCGGCGGTCACCACGCCCATTATGTCGGCAGCGGCACCAATGCCGCCCAAGCCGGCGCCGCTATAACGAAACGTGCACTGATCCTGCTCCTTAAGCTTGCCCTGCGCCAGTGTGACCAGATTCTGCAAGTGCAATAATATATGCTGTTAGTGTTTGCCTATCCCATTTACTCGAAGCCCGTTTTTTTTTTCTCAGTGTCTCTACACTTAAAGTTTTATAGCCAGGATAATGTGGTATCCTCAGGATAATGTGGCACTTGCTAACATTCTAGTTAATACTGAACTGTTTGCAAGTAAATTATCTTCTTTCTTTACCCCAATTACATGTTCTGTTCAGTTCAAATTGAAACATATTGAATTTGTGAACAGTGTTGCCAACATACATATTTTAGTCATTGTACACTCTGGCCGGCAGTGTTGCTCAATTGGCAGTTAGTTATACTGAACTCTAGAGTTAAACCGCCCGTTAATATATTGTAAGTGATTGTTAAACGAAACCTAAACCAAACCCTAGAAAAGCAGGCCTTAAGTAATTTGTTGTTGACAGCATTGCCAACATATAGAAATGTGTGCACACACTGGCCAGCAGTGTTGGTCATGTCTAAGAGACACTGAGAAAATGGCCTACCGCCTAAGCTGGGCTCACACTTACGCGCACTGCATCCTCGAGCAGATCGATGACCTCACGGACATTCTCGTTGCTGAGGGAGGCGCACTCGCCGCTCTTCTCGCTCAACATGACCTCGTCGCAGAGCTTGATGAGCTTGCCCAGCGACTGGTAGACCTGCTGTGTGGCTGAGCTCATGATGGCACTGTTCTCGTTCAGCGTATACGACTGAATGACTGTGAAGCAAAAGAAAAGGAAGCGGTTAGAGTTAGAGAATATTTATGGAAGAATCGTTTGGATCATTTACCGGAATACATGCTGGCAATGGTCTCCAGTATGACGGTGCCATTGCCGGGCAGCACCTCCAGCTTCTTTTTGTGTATGACATCGCGAAAGTGTTTGAGCGCATTCGATATATCCTTGACGTGCGTCTCCAGCGTTTGAGTGGAACGCTGCACCTCCTCGGTGGTGGGCGGCGGCTTGGAGCCGTGCTTGCTGCGCGGACTGTGCGGCGAATGGGATCGGCCGAGCGTATTGTTTGTGGTGCGCATCAGTGAGATCTTCTCAATCAGATCGTCCTTAAAGGAGCGCGCACGTCGCGCCAACTTCGTGCCCTTCAGACTGTTCTTATGACCCGATGAGCCCGACGACGACGACGCACTGCCGCTTGGCGGCGCTGGCGGCACCCCACCTGTCCGCCCGCTCTGCTGTGGGGTCGTCGGCGGCGGCGCTTGCTGCGACTGTTGCTGCTGCTGCTGCTGGTACTGCGTATGCTGCGGCGGGGGCGTTGACGATGTGCTGGATGTGTGGCCCGCGTAGTTGGCGGCGCCGCTGCTGTTGATGCTGTTGCTGCTGCTGCTGTTGCCGCAGCCGCCGACGCCGCCCGCCGAGCAGTTGTTGGGCGTGGATGGAGAACTGATGCTGCCGTCTATTCGAGGATGATAAAACATGGTGTTCAATAATGTTAATTAAATCGAATCAAGACCGAATGATCTGTATTTGCTCTATGGGATTATTCAACTGGATATTCATTTCATGCGCTCCAGCTCAACAATAGGCGACACACACACACACACACACACACACACACACACACACACACACACACACACACACACACACACACACACACACACACACACACACACACACACACACACACACACACACACACACACACACACACACACACACACACACACACACACACACACACACACACACACACACACACACACACACACACACACACACACACACACACACACACACACACACACACACACACACACACACACACACACACACACACACACACACACACACACACATACAGAACCACACACGCATTCATGAATCATAACTCAAGCGTGATTCAGTCGGATTATGCCTTGCGTATTAAGCACTTATCGAATAATAAGAATACGGTTCACGAGCCGCTTTTCGGTTCAAAACACGTTCAGCATTTGTATACCCTGTAAAAAACACTCTCTGCATTTGTATACCCTGGCAAAGTTGGCTCAGCAATTCAATATATAGCGATTCACCTGGCATATAAAGAAAGGTAGCAATAGATAGCCAAGTGTTTCTAAAGAAATCAAAGCATCAAGCGTGTCGCCTGGAAGTTACAAAAGCGATAAGCAATATTACAAATATTACCAGGCTAATAATCACAATCGCAAGCGATTCACCTGGCAAAATCGATTTCTTTATCTTGTGAAGTATTGTATGCTATCGCCGTATTCGCGCATTGGAAGTGAAATAGGCGATATGAATGTGCTTGACTTTAGTTTTATACCCTTTCTCTACCATATACACATAGAGAAAAGACTTGTTAGACACCATTATGGTATATTATTAGATCTGTTTACAGAGTATCTCATAGTCGTGCACTCGCTTGCCTACATGTTGTTGTCATCAACTAATTCAGCATGGGTTTAAGTAACGATAACTACACAATTTCCGAGTACAAATCGGTCTCAACTGTTTCTATAGAAACGTAGGCATTTACTTTTGATTTCCCGATATATATTTGTAGAAATATATATATATATATATACTCATATAGTTGATTAAGCTTTTCCCATGCAGGAACTTTTAGAATGGCATATATATGTATTACTGAATGGATATTCCAATTTTTGTCTACTTTTGTTTTTGACTTTTGCCAATATATATATATAGAGATGAACATATATGTATGTGTAAGAAAACATTTCGGATATATAGATATGGACTCTGCGTATTTGAGAGACCTTCACGTGTCGCTTTTTAACATATTCACCAAAAAGTTCACATTTATCCGCACTCATTTGATGTGTTGTTTATTCAATGCTTGTTTTAAATCGCCAATAAAATGATAAAAATCAGATGAGAAATGTGCAAAGAGACAGAGTAAGAGTGTGACTAGCTGACTGAAGGCCAAACTTGAGATACCCTATGAAAATGTGTACAAATTTTTACTAACGATAACAATTACTGTTCGACTTTTATCTGCTCAAATATATATTTAAATTTGTTGAGTTTCAGTTATAATTCAAAGCATTATCGATAAATATCGATAAGCATTAGGTTGTCTACGTAGGATTATCATCGTTTTACAACATGGACGATAAATTCCGTACTAAATAAACGTTGTATATCAATTGATTGCTTACACATTCACATTGCTTAATACATTCAAAGGATCATTCGATACTTTTATCGATAACCCGCACAATTGACTCTTCCAAAACCAACAACAACGGGAGTTGTTTAGCTAAGGACATTTGGCTAATAAAAAGCTAAGGATGTTTCTATTAAACAGTTGAGTGTGGACAACTATCGATAGAAACTATCGATAACTGTTATTATAGAGTGACATTAGCTGAGCTCGTTCAATATCCTCAACGATTAACTAGTCGAAACATGCTATCGATAACATTTCTGAAAGAATGACTTAACGGAGATAATAGTTTACTCCAGCATTTGCTTGTGTTTGTATGAGCAATTGATAACCAATATGATCATCGATCCATACATCTATATACTCCATCGTTAACAGTTTATAAACAGGTGCTTCAGCAACTGAGCGCATTTCAATCGATAGCGAATATGGTCACTGATTCACTAATCGATTAACACTATCGATAACATTGCCTAAAGTGTGAAGTGACTTAGCACAGTTGGTTTTGTCAGCAATTACTCGTAATTCGTTAGCTTTGAATAACATTTCGATAGAAACACTTCTCAACGATTCACAAATCGATAGACACTATCGATAACACTGCTTAAGGAGTGAAGCGACTTAGCACAGTTCGTTTTTTCAGCACATTATTATGCCAAATGCAATCGATAGCGAATATGCCCTATCGTGCAGGGCATACGGCACATGTGCGCCGCTCTTTAGCTGATTTGCATGATGAACGACGGCAAACGAGCAAATGCCGAACGGTAAACGATCCGTAGACGCCCACCCAATACCAGACCAACATAAAGAAAAGCCACAAAACACGCTAATGCAGGGTGTGTGTGTGTGTGCATGTGTGTGTGTGTATGTTGTAGCTTTCACTTACAGAGCAACACATTCTTGACCAGCAAACACGATGCTGGCGGTGTCAATGTTGTGCATAAAGACGGCGTTGTTGTTGTTGCTGCTGCTGATAAAGCCAAACGTGGCAATTTTTTATATTCGCGCCGTCTGTGGAATTTGATGTCATGCAGCGTGGCTTTGTTGCTGCTGCCGCAGCTGTTGTTGTTGTTGTCGTTGTTGTTGTTGTTGTTATCGCGCGTGGACCACAGTGTGCGCTGCTGCTGTTGTTGTTGTTGTTGCTGTGGCTTTGGCTCATCTTGCACGGGCTGCTTCACCGTATACGAATAGAAACGCCAGCGTTCGGCCAGCGCGCAGTCGCTCAGAAAAGACTCGTCAAATTGCGGCATTTTGCGATTGCATAACAACAACAGCAACAACAACAACTGCAACAACAACAGCAGCAGCAGCGACAACAATATTTATAGAAAATTTAATGTTAGTCTTGCATTCAATTCACAGCACTTGACGAGCTCTAAAGTAACTTTTTATATATATTTATTTCTTCTTCTTAGTTTTTTTTTTGTTGTTGTTTGCCTTTTGCCAATTTTCAAGAGCAATTGTCGCCGCTTGTTGTTGCGTCTTGTGCTGTTTAGCCAATTCAAATAGCCAATCACAAATATACTAATATTATATATTTAGACACAAGACGCGGCCGCCAGCTGCTGTCGTCAGCGTTGTCGTCTGGAAAGCGCACTGAACTATGAAAATCCGCAAACGGCAAACGGCAAACGGCAAAACGGCAATCGCCAGCAGCCAGTCGCCAGGTCCGCTAACCAGCCATTAAGCAGCAACAGCAGCAGCAGCAACAAGAAGACGAAGAACAACAACAACAGCTACAACAACAGCAACAACAACAACAACAACAACAACGCGTCGTAGAGAGCAACATATAGCAGCGCATCAAATGGCACTCGCTCCCAACAACTCGGCTTGAGACTTGCTCGCGCAACAACAACAACATTCACAACAACAACATTCACAACAACAACAACATTCACTGATAGACAAACAACATTGCGGCTCTCGCATCCATTTTGCTCTCTGTTATCATTTGAGCCTCAGCTCTTTCTCTTTCTCTCTCTCTCTCTCTCTCTTGCTTTAACGCAGCCATTATTGTAGATATTGGGTATGCTTGTTTCACATACCCTATAAACAACTAAATCAACTAAATTAGGCTTAAGTAGAGTTAAGTAACAGAAAGCGACTTAAATCATTTATTTGCACAATATTATCATAAGTTGTTCATTTAATTTCAATTTGGAAACTTTTTAATGCATATTATATTATATGTTCCTGATCAAATAAAGAAATTTCATTTTGTGGATTATGCGTGTATGTAATCTAATACAAAGTTATGGTTATTTAAATATTCCGTAAATCTGAAATTCTTCATTTTGTTTAATCATTTTTTTTGTGTAATAATATTTTCTATTTTCAAAATACTTTGGCTCATAAAAATGTTCAAAATATCTCACGAAATTTAACCGTAGACATAATTGTTTTATTAACAATTTGTAGTTTATATATAAGAATATAGATTTGAACAAAAAATGTAGGTTCAGGAACTTAACGAACCGAACTTAAAGGCAAGTCGTTGGTTCGAGCCGTGAGCCGAACTACTAACTTTTCCTTTAGTTTGCAGCCCTGATTGAAAAAATATCCCAGATACAGGGTATTTGCTAGTCGTGTCAGGCTGTTGGTTCGAACCACTGACTTTTCCTTTAGTTTGCAGCCTGGATTGAAATAATACCCCAGATACAGGGTATTTGCTAGTCGTGCACACTCGACAAGCGCCTTTTCACACTTTGTTTAAATTGTATTTTATTTGATTTGATTTTATATATTTTCTTTCTCTGGCCCTGAGGCCCGGCAATGCTGGGGATTTGTTTTCGACAATTTTCAAGTGGCGCGCGATGATCGTGACTTGCCTTGAAATGAGTTTGTGGAAGCTGAAGTTGAAGGCGCGAACGAAAGTAGAAGAAAACAGTACAAAAAAAAGAAAAGAAAAAAACAGTTAACAAGCATACGCCCAAAAAAATCTCTGCTCAAATTGAAGAGAAGTGAAGTCGGGCAAAATATCATCAATATTATTGGTGATCGAGTGCCGAACAAATACGCTAGAGATCTCTAAAAGAGACAGAACAAACATAATAATAATAAATGTATTCGCAATTGAAATTGCAAGGAACTTTCGAACTAGACATTGATATTGGGATAGTAATAATAATAATAAACCATCTGCGATCTTATAGAAGTAAATATGTTGAAAGCATATCCAAAATCGTTTCCCTATATCATTCACATTATTATAGTTTGTTGGAAAATTCAGTGTACAATAACCTCATGTTTGTCTCAAG